TTTTGTGCGGAACCTGGCATCATTTTCAGAGAGACAATAATCTTTGGGTTTAATATATCCATCTCGATTCAGATTCCGCTACCAGTGCAAGCTTCAGTCATCACTTTTTATGCCTCTCTCGACCGCCTGAGTGCTGTTTGGCCACTTGGGCACTACTTAATGGTGTCTCAAGAATGTCATTAACCTGTAGATTGACAGAGAAGCAATGTAAGGAGGCTCAGTCTTGAGTTCATTCTCCAGTTAATCACATGGAATGATAGTTTTTTGCTGGCCATTTTTTAGTTTCGAGTCACCACCTTTTCTTTACATGTTGACTACAGGTACATCCTCATTCCCAGCCCATCTTTACCCTCCTCATCAGTATAGTTTAACAAATTTCGCCAACAGCAGCATCAGAATCTTCCTCCTCCTTCTTCAGATCTGCTAAAGTGCATTTCCTTCCTTTTGCTGATTCTCCTCTAATTTTTTCTTTCTATCATTGAGACAGCTTTTTTCTCTAACAGTCATGTCCTCATCTGCACACACATACCAAGTTAGCTAGGTTGATCTGTGTGCTTAAGTATGCATTTCTCTTGACAGCCTTTCTTTCACTATCGCTCTCCCTCACTATTCAGGTGTTTCATATATAGCAGGGACTGAATACGCTCACGGTGTTACGAAGGGTGTATCTTGATGTAAACCATTGGAGCACTGAACTTTATTATTGTAATGACAATTCTTTTTCAACTCATGGCTGGGTCTTATGTTGCTACATACAGCCTGGAGGATTCTAATTCTACAAGGTGTTCCACCTTGACACACAGGAGGACCTGGCCCAATATGCCAAGTCATCTTCAAATAACACCTACAGATAACCTTTTACAAATCCTATACAGGTATTTGATCCCAGGACAGATCTTTTTCTCCACTTCATCATTAAACATGTAGGAAATCAGGGAAACTGACACTGGTGGAAGGCTATAACTGAAGCTCAAACAAAGACTCCTTGATCTGCTTTCCAATGGGACCAGCCATGCTCAGACCACTTGGTTTACCATCATATAAAAAACTTCGCTGAAAGGCAGCTCATTTCCGGAAGACATATGAAATAATGGAGCGGGTGACCAAGTAACATTTCAAGATGATGAATGACCCATTTTCTGATCCTACATTTACATTGGTTCCATCACAACCAACACACACAATGGGTCTGGGTTAGATTTTCCACCAGAAACTGTGTGAATAGTTTTGGAAATCTGCTTTCCGTGTCGTCTTGGGAGTCACATGTGAGATATTCATTAGCCAACCATGATGACATAATGAAATGAGAAAAGGCTGATAATCAATATAGACATAGCACCATACTCATCTGCAACAAGACAACTTAAATGAAATGAGATATGAAAAAAAGTTGATAAACACTGAACAGAATACAACCCCACAGCGGCTGTTTGGCTAGTACTGTAGGTAAATTTAAAATTTCAGTAGAAAATGCGGCAGACTAAACCTCGACATATCAGCTTCAAATTTGGCATGGAGTCTTAGATATGTATAAGGAACAATGCCTGAAGAGTGCAGCTTTGAGCAAAATTTCACTGCCCCCTAATGTACATACTGTATACTGTATAGTATTCCACATACACGTAAGTATAAATACAAAGTTTATGTGATGATCGGACAACGTCCATATCGGTTAACGTCACGTTTCCAAGAACGTATTTAGGATGTTAACCGGCGCATGACTGTAGAGACTGGGCCGACCACCAAACTCCACTTTTTCCGACACAATACGTACGTTGTAGTAAAAATAACATTTTGATTTTATGATGGTATGCACACACAATTAATATTTAAGAGGAATACAGTCCATTCAAATACTGACTAACTCGCTAACCCCCCCTTCTTCCCACGCTCGCTGGCTCCTCCCTCTCTGAGAAATGTTTGGGTGAAAACAGTAGGCTTACATTTTTAGTCATAAATTATACCTCAGACTAAAGTTAGGATAATATAATTGACATTGCTGGATTCCTTGCAAGACTATTTTGAATATAAATGTCATATATTTTGAACAAAGATAAAATTTTTGCCCTTTCTAATCAAAATTTTTACATTAGATCTAAAATTTGTAAGCCTAGTGCAAATTCCATGATGTTTATATCTAAAATAATCACAATCTTATAAGAATTCCAGCAATGTAAATTATATTCTGGCCAGGTAATTTGTATGAATTTTATGAGCTAAAACAAATATCTTTAGTAAATGAACAAATTATACTTCACTCAGACACTATCTGTCAATCAAAATACCCCACCTCTGCTCCCCCCCCCTCTTCCCATGCTTGCTGGGTCCCTCCCTCCCCCCTCTACCCCCACATCCCCTCCCTACCAGAGAAATGTTTGGGTGAAAAGAGTAGGCTTACATTTTTAGTAATAAATAATACCTCAGACTAAAGTTAGGATAATATAATTGACATTGCTGGATTCCTTGCAATACCAGGAATATTTGGAATATAAATGTCATATATTTTGCACAAAAGATACAATTTTTGCTCTTTCTAATAAAAATTCTTACATTAGATCTAAAATTTGTATGTCTAATGCAAATTCCATGATGTTTATATTTAAAATAATCACAATTTTATAAGAATTCCAGCAATGTAAATTATATTCTGGCTGGGTAATTTGTATGAAGTTTATGAGCTAAAACAAACATCTTCAATAAATACAGTAAAAAAGTTATTCTTCACCCGCGTAAATGACCAAATATACCGTGTAATTAAAGCATTTCATTCTGGCAAGGCACCGCATAAATGACCAAACGCGTAAACAAAAGCCGCGTAAATGCAGACTCTACTGTATGTATGTATGTATGTATATATATATATATATATATATATATATATATATATATATATATATATATATATATATATATATATATATATATATATATATATATATATATATATATATATATATATATATATATATATATATATATATATATATATATATATATATATATATATATATATATATATATATATATATATATATATATATATATATATATATATATATATATATATATATAATATATATATATATATATATATATATATATATATATATATATATATATATTATGCTTAACAACCGCGTTAGAATGTGACATATATATATATATACTATATATATATATATATATATATAATAAATATATATATATATATATGTATATATATACAGTCATGATTGCGTCCTCTGATAGTTCTTGGAAGTAACGTTAGCGAAATGGGGTTGTCCACGTCATCACATCTTTTTATTTATACTTATGCAATGTATGTGGAATACTATATAGGCATATACACTTTTATAATCACTATGTTAGATGGTGAGTAAAATTATTTTGAGAGGAGAGCGGGGTGAGGTAGGGGAGGAGCGTGGGGGGAGGGAGGTAGTACGTTTGACAGTTGGCACGAGGCCAGGTCTACGCGTGTATATTTATCAGTTCTTAAGTGATAAGCTTCTCTCTTATAAAAAGCCAGTGAAATGACCTGGGTGAATATAATTAACATTGCTGGGATTCTTGTAACATACTGATTAATTTGAATATAAACATGCTATAATTTGCACTAGACAAAACAATTTTAGTACGTAATCAAATTAGTACATGTGCACTCAGCTTTGCACTAAGGTCATTTATTTCTATTACGTTTCTTTTTAGTATGGTGTGTGCATGTAAATGGATGAAAATAAATGAAGAAATCTATGTAAATCTACCCAAAAATACAGTTGAAAAACTTTTTTATAAAATGTACTACAGTACTGTACACTAATGTACCACAATTTTATCTCTTGAGCAAAATATATGACGTTTATATTCAAATTATTGGCTGTCTTGCAAGGATTCCAGCAATGCAAATTATAATCTAACTTTAGTCTTGAGATATTATATAAGATAAAACTGTAAGCCTAAAAGGCTGGGGAGGAGGGAGGAGGGAGGGAGGGAGGGAGGGAGGGAGGGAGGGAGGGAGGGAGGGAGGGAGGGAGGGAGGGAGGGAGGGAGGGAGGGAGCCAGTCAGCGTGGGGGTTGAGGTGATAAGTTTGAGCCGAGGTCTCTGTGTGTTTATTTAACAGACCTACTAAGCTTCTCTCATTTTAAAATGCCAGTGATATGACCTAGGAGAATATAATTAACATAGCTGGGATTCTTGTAAGATACTGATTTATTTGAATATAAACATGTTGCAATTGCACTAGATATAACAATATTAGTACCGTAATCAAATAAGTACATGTTCAGTCCAGCTTTGCACTAAAGTCATTTCTGTGACAAAAAACAAAAACTCAATCTAAAGGACATAAATAAACAAATAAATACTTCCGCATGCCGGCCCCAACTGTCAAACATGTCACTGTCACCCCCCCCAATCTTCCCAGACAGGGTTGGGTGGTTATAGCTTATTTTATTTTATATAATATCACAGACTAAAATTAGGAGGAATATAATTTGTATTACTAGAATCCTTGTTTCCTTTTTCCGTGTGATTATATATATATATATATATATATATATATATATATATATATATATATATATATATATATATATATATATATATATATATATATATATATATATATATATATATATATACAGTATATATATATATATATATATATATATATATATATATATATATATATATATATATATATATATATATATATATATATATATATTGAATTAAGGGCGATTTAGGGGAATTTAGGAGTGTATCTGACTTTATGTGTTTTTGGCTTTACTTTGTATATACTTTTCTGTGAGCTAGAACCAATTATCCAATATCCCAATGAAACAATGGTTTCGGTTAACAAACAACCCTCTGGAACGAATTGAGTTCGGTAACCGATGGACCACTGTACATAAAAAAAATAAGTGCTAACAAATGATCATATCAATGAAATGAGAAATTTCTGAGATTTTAGAATACGGTACCATAAGTTAAAGTTACTCACCTGGTCCCTGCGTTCATAAGTTGGCCCAGGTAAATCACTTAGTCTGGGCAGAGGTCCCCCGGGGGTACTAGGAGGTAGATCCAAAAGAAGGGACAATGTTGATGAAACTAGAATAATTAATAAAGAAGAATTAGCAGCATCCCAAAGAAAGACTGAAAAAATGATCCTGCAATCATTCATGACAAATTATAATGAACTAAATTTATTATAATACTTATAACCATTTGAACAATTATTATTTATAAATGTTAATCTGGTACTAAATTAATGATTCTCATCATGTTCAAGTCACTAAAAAATATCTTTGCAACAATTGTCCAAGATTTTTTAAGAAAAATGGCAGAAAAGCTGGTCAAAATATACAAAAGTTTGGACTGTGTACATTGTGACTAAAGAATATTGCTTAAACCTGTACAATGTACAGGTTTAAGCAATATTCTTAGGTCACAAACATTAATATAGTACAGTATTCATAACACCTATATCTCATTGTTGGTCAAAATTATGATCAGGATTAGTACAATTTAATTACACTGGGAACTTAGAATTACAATAACACTGTCATCACCTGGACACTCACTCGCAATATGCATTAATATAGAAATTCAAAATTACATATCATTGTCTAATCTTAAAGCCTATTGGTTCCAGCTACCCTTCAATACAGCAGGTGCAGGCTTGTAAGAGAAAAATAACTACAGGGATTAATATTAAATACTGGACTGTACTGTACTAGCATGAGACTGAGACCAATTGGCATTTACAATCACAAAGAGCCATAAAAAGCAAAAATGTTCACTCACATGACACTGTCAGCTGGTGTGTATCTGACTTTCCTTTCTATATACTGTACAGTACGTATATATATTTTTTCAAAATTACATTAATAAGCAAATTAATTTGTTTTACAGGCATGGGACCATCTATCCAGTGTCCCAGTATCTAGAACACTCCAAAATCTGGCTATGTTATGGAAAAAAATATTTAACAGGAGTGCCAAGTAATTCCTGGGCCGTGCAGAGATATTTACCACCATACCCCACCAGTCAGCTGTGTGTTAGGGTTATTTTTCAAATCATAATTTAAGGTAAATATATGTAATTTTCTTTATTTTATTTTACTAAGTTACACACACACACACGCTCAATCTTATACAGTAGAACGTCGATTTAACTCGAATTGATTAAGATTATTGATTTAAAGCGGCACCCACAATTAAGGACAAAGTTTCAATTTAAAACGAATCTTTCCTATTTTGCGCGAGTCAATCAAGGCGCATTAAATTTTAAATTTCGTGCCTAATGTTTCCCACCAGATGCGTCTCTGGACACGCTACATGGCTGCTTGCTACCCTCCCACATCCTCAGTTCTCTCACTGACGCTCTAGTGAACGGACATATTGTGTGACACTATCTCTTCTACCACGTGTATCAACCATCACCACTATGTCCAAGAGGCCAGCCACTACATCATTAACTACCCCAAAGACCAAGAATTCAAGGCAAGCAATTACACTGGAGCAGAAAATCAAGGTGCTGGAAGCACTGCAGCGTGGAAATGGTGTTTCAAGTGTGGGACGCCAATTTGGACAGTGATGTGGATAATGAGCTGGTCGAGTTGGGCTCTGCATCTTCAGAGGATGAATTGCTAAGTAAAGTTGAATGAAAGTCTATTTTTGATAACATAAAGTAATTAAAATCTAAGTTGAGAGGAAAGTGAAAGTGCTTGGTGAGTCAGACGAGAGGCGGGTGGTGTGCGGCTCCAGCGTGACTACCCTCTGACATCAGCTGATCGTCAGTAAACAGACCATTTCGCATCCCTTAATTTTAGCTGTGTTGATTTATGAGTGTTTGTTTTAACATAATACTACAAAACACAATGTTTTGTTTATTCTAGGAGATGGGCTGAGGTGCATCTGGGTAGACTGTCAGTCTTTTTAGTATTTTGTGTTTCTCTCAAGTACCAAACTAAATTATTCCATTGAAACAACACTTTGATTTAGTGCGAATTCGGTTTAAAGCGACCTCTCTTGGAACGTATCTCGTGTTATATCCACGTTCTACTGTATACAGAAAGTGAAGGAAAATAAATACGGTCATGACACGAAAATTCGCTTTTATGAATTTCTCAATTTAACACTTCTTTCTTATTTAATAAAAGTTACCCTTGCTTATACTAATTTTGGCTTGAGCAAAAAATTCATATCGTGCACCACTGGAAGTCAGCTGAGGAGACCACCTCGGAGAGATGCAGAGAGATGTATTCTCACTCACAGATCATAACACACCCCCCTTCCCTCCCACATCTCCCCCCAACCTGTGTGTTTTGTTCCATCATTCCCTACCCCTTGTGGTGAACCCTGACTGCTGAGGGTGGTGGTGTGCTTATTTAAGTGTTACACTTAACACCACTAGTGGCATTACAGCCAAGTTAGACTTGTCACCGTAGTCACTTCCTCCTAGCCGTGTGGCGAGTGCGTGGAGAGGTCGGAGGGTCTGTGGCGCAGAGTACTGTTGTTAACCCTTAAGTCCCGGGCTAAGGTGTTGCTGGCAGTAACCCCGAAGGAATAAATTGAGAAAAAAAACTTTACAAAAGGGGGGGAATTGGCGGACGCTCTGGAACCTCACCCGGGACCTAAGGGTTAAAGATGCTGTTGCATTGCTAAAGCTGCGGTCACACTAGAGTTTTCCGTGCAATAAATCCATGATAGCATTTCATCCACAGGCAATAAGTCAACGGGAAGATCCGCACACTGATCACACTGGCGGAAGGAGCAGTTAAACAGGCACCCAGCTCGCGTGGCTAGTTGGAGAGCAGGGTAGCTGCATTAGCCGCTTTAGTGAGATGTGTGGTCCTGATAAAGAAGACGAAGACGGAAATTTGGTGCACGTTTGTAGTGTCCAAGCAATGTTTGTTTACAAAAGTGACACAAGTACTCTAGAGTCAAATGAAATTCCCGTCATGATGTATGGTCGTCTTATTATTATAATTTTTTATTTACTATGATATTTTTGCTCATGTTTTTTTATTGAAATAAACTAATTATATTTTTTGTACTGTACATTTTACATTAACAAGAAAAAATAAAAATTATGCAAATTTTATCACTACAACAGACTCTCTATAGCAAATTTAAACCTACCATACCGTGGATTTTCAGACGCTCAGTATCGTCCCACTTTGAACAACAAATCGCTCTAGAGACAGACAACCTGAAGAGTTTGTTGAAAAAATCAATGTTACGGTGGATTTATTTTAGGTAGAAACTTAATTGTGACTACAGCTGAAGTCAAGTGCAATGAAGTTTTTACACTAACCTCCATCATTTTTGCTCTTTTTATGTTTTCATTACTGTTATATAGGTGCTTTCGTTATTAATGTCAATATGCCTAAAATATTAAATTCTAATGTTATAGTTAATGCTACTTTTATGGGTGAATCTAAAGATCTGAACAAAGGCTTCACAGCCAGTTACAGAGAGTTTACGGTAAATTTTGTACATTTAGACCTGGTACTCCAAATTCCGGAAAAAACCCTATCTGGCAAACACCGGGTCCCAAGCATGCTGGATAAATTATCCCATATCGGCACTTAGAAAAGCATTTCGGTCTTTGATAAACAGTGAAACAAATTTATTTTCTTATTTATAATGCCTCAATCCTCCAGGAGGTTCCCCACTATAAGATTGGCCTCCAGGTTATCCATCACTAATATGTCCTATGCCCCTTACCCCCTCCCATATTCTCTCTAATGTACAATTCCATCTTTCTTTCCCATGATGCAGGTGGCCTCCCTCTACCTAACAATCCTGCTACATAGCCCCATATGCACCCATTTACTATCCTCCTGCATCCTTCCCGTATGACCATACCATCTCAGCAAGCCTGACATCACCCATTTCACCAATCCACAGTACACATCCTCTGCCGTCTTTGCCATTCCAGTACCCTATAAACTTGCTAATTCTTACCCCTTGTAGCCTTCAAGTAACTCAACTCTTAGCATTTTGATATATTCCAAGTCTGTGTTTCACTGTTATGAGGTAAGAGAGGAAGTTTATGTTCTGGAGCAGTGGGATAATTAATTTTGTTGTTTTTATACCACCTTGTGATATAACCCTTTTGTTACATGTATCACAAAATACCCAGTACGATTTATGCCTAGTAGGAGCTATAACATGAAGTAACTTTGAGAAAGTTAAAGAAATCATTGCATTTCCAGAGACAGTTTCCAGATAATGACACCATATGAATAGGAGAATACCAGATCCTGGAGAACTGTGACTAGACTTGTCCTTGTCAACAGTGTCAGTCCCAGATATAGCAGATGTCACCAGATTCTGCAGAGCTTCTGACACTGGAGAAATTCCCATGCCTCGTATGCCTCTGCTGCCCATACCAATCTGATAATTAAATAAGGTTTAGGTATGGATACAAATTTCTTCAATAAAGAAAAAATATATATAACATAATATATAAAATTATGAAAGTTGAAATAAGGAATAGATAGATTTTTAATATATTTTCACAGGGCCCTTCCTCACTCTAGTGAAAATATGCTAGAACCAAGAACAAAAACTATTTTTCATTCATTCATCAAGCTACTGTAATAAATGTGTTCTACTGTGGTGTTTCCCTTCCACAAGGCCCTGAGGCTTAGAGAGAAATCTGCATGAGCCACATCTCTCTAGCTGTGAAAAAGTTTATAATGATATGCAGTAGTTCCCAATAAGTCAGTCTTAGTTAATCCCTTCATGTGCAAGTACAGTACAGTGGTCCCTCGATTAACAAACGGTTCAATTAACAAAATTTTGGTTCACGAATTAACTCCCATAAGGATTTTCAGTTCCATTATTATCGAACAAGACTTCGATTAACGACAGCCTTACGAGAAACACGCTTTGTTGTATGCATCAGCTGATTGGCTAGGCCACCAATACAGTACAGGTTGACAACCCTTTATCCGAAATTCCGAAAACCGAAAAGCTCTGAAAACCGAAATTTTTTTTGTGGAGCAATTTTTTTTTTTTTTTCATGGGTACTAGCCCACCTGGGCACATGTCACTGACCCACATCAGGGCCTGGGGGGTGAAAATGTAATGGTAATGGTAATAATAATAATAATAATAATAATGATAATACAGTAATAATAATAATTATTCATAGTAAATAAAATTTTTAAAAATACACAAATATAAAATAAGAATGATAACAATAATAATAATAATAATAATAATAATAATAAAGAAACACAAGAATGAAAAAAAAGATCAAAAGTGAGAAACACGACCTAGACCTATGAATTATTATTATTATTATTATTATTATTATTATTATTATTATAATTATTATTATTATTATTATATTTTAGCCCCCAGGCCCCAATGTGAGTCAGTGACCTGCAGTGCCCGGGTGGGCTGATCCCTGTAAAAAAAAAAATAAATAAATAAAATAAAAAATAAACTAACCATTCTGAAATCCGAAAAATTCCAAAAACCGAAATGCATCTGGTCCCAAGGATTTCGGATAAGGGATTGTCAACCTGTAATTGATTTTATGTTTACATTCGTTTACAGTAGAGTAAATATCAAGAAAGTTGTGCTCCTGAATATTTTTGCATTTTTTATATTAAAATTATTGGTTATTCTGAAATTTAGTTAACTTATTGTTAATATACAGTGCAGAAATTATTATGAAACATGAAGAAAGCATTAGAACCAATGCACTCTGTAAAGAATATGGCATGTCATCAGCGACTGCCTCTACAATCAGCTGTTTGATATGTAAACAAAGCTGCTGGTAATATAACATACACACTTCAAAGTAAGTTATAATACAGTATTCTATTGTTTTTTATTTATCATTGTACAGTATACAGTACAGTACAGTACTGTATTTAGTTTATATTTAATGTTTTCTTAATTCTCTTACAGTAGAATGTTGATTTAAAGCGATTCAATTTAAGATTATTGATTTAGAACAACACCCATAATTAAGGACAATGTTTTAATTTAAAGCGAATCTTTTTTATTTTACGCAAGTCAATCTGGTGCATCATATTTTAAAAATCGCGCCTAATGTTTCTCTGGGCACGCTACACTGTCCTAAGGGCAAAGCTGTACTGTACATGTACTCAAAATAATGTACTAAATGATTACTAAAATTTTTGTTTAGTGCAAACTATAGCATGATTATATTCAAATTAATCACTATCTTATAAGAATACCAGCAATGTAAATTATATTCTCCCCGGTCACTTCTATGACATTTTATAAACAAAAAACAAAACTCAATGAAAAGGACATAAATAAACAAATAAATACTTCACTGACCTTCGGCGCCAACTGTCAAAACATTTCAGGGAGTTAAAACCTAAACGCGACAAAGAGAGGACTCAGAACACGACTAACTTAAATGTCTACTACGCAAACAGTAGAAGTATGAGAAACCAAATGGATGAAATTAGGGCTTTGGTAAGTACCGAAAAAATCGATATAATAGCATTCACCGAAACATGGATAAACTTTAACACACGTGAGTTACCTGTTGAATACCAAATTGCAGGTTACAAATTATTCCATACTGATAGGCAGATTAAAAAAGGAGGCGGAATAGCAATCTATGTCAGGGATAATCTGAAGTGTGAAATAAATAAGGAAATAAAAACTGAACTGACTGCAGAAACAATTTGGATAGAATTAATCGATGGTGGGGAAAAATTAATCACAGGAGTAATATATAGACCTCCTAATCTTGATAGAGTTAATGAGCGACTTATTTGGGATGAAATGAGCAGGGCTTCCATACATAGCAAAGTCTGTATAGTAGGCGACTTTAACTTTAACCAAATAGATTGGATTGACCTTATGGGTAACTCAGAATCAGAGGATTTTCTTGAAACAATCCAGGACTGTTTTCTAAGCCAACATATAACCGAACCCACCCGGGAAAATAATATACTCGATTTAGTTCTATCAAACAGAGAAAACCTTATTAGTAACGTCGAGGTAGGGAACGAACTTGCTAACAGCGATCACAAAGAAATAAGATTCCAATTAGAATTTTAGGGCAGCTGCAAGGAAAATTCCACTAAAGTCCCAGATTTCAGAAGGGCAAACTTTGACAGTTTGAAGAGGCAGCTGAGAGAAGAGGTATCATGCTTGGAGGTAAATTACATGACCTCACATGAGGTGACCCCACACAATGTACTCACAGAGGGCGACCTCACTTTACCAGGAGACCTGATGGTTGACGATGACCTGATCACAAAATCTGAGGTTGCCGAGTTCCACAACAATTTAAATAATGAGTTACTTAATGCACAAAGGCAGAACATACCATACCGAAAACTCAGATCAAACAACAATGACCCTAAATGGATAAATAATTATTTAAAAAATAATATTGGACAAAGGCAGCAAGGGAGGCAAAATCAAACCCCAAGGGAATCTATCAAATGTATCAAACTAAAACACGGAAAAAGATTGGACCAATACAGTCGGATACCGGCGAGCTAACTGATAACGACAGAGAAATGAGCAATAATCTGAATAAATATTTTTTAACAGATTTCACCACTGAAATTTTAAACATGATACCCGAGCTACTGACTCTATATAGTCCAGAGATAGTGAAGAAAATAAATTAAGTGAGATAGTAGTGACTAGTAAAGATGTTAGTAAGCAAATACACAACTAAAGCCTAATAAGTCACCAGGTCCCGATGAGATATTTGCCAGAGTATTAAAGGAATGTAAGGAAAAGCTTAGTATGCCCTTAGCAAAGTTGTTTAACATGTCCTTAAAAATGGGTGCAGTACCAGAATCCTGGAGGATAGCAAATGTAATGCCAATTTTCAAGAAGGGAGATAGATCACTATCCTCGAACTACTGTCCAATTAGTCTTACATCAGTTGTAGGCAAATTACTGGAAGCAATCATTCTTTTCATCTGTTTTCGAATCAGTGGACGAGCAGCACAATTATGATGTGGTATATCTCGACTTTAGCAAAGCCTTCGACAGAGTCCCTCACGAAAGACTAATAAGAAAAGTGGAGGCTCATGGCATTAATGGAGATATTCTAAAATGGATGAGGGCGTGGTTACAGGACAGGAAACAGCGAGTGAGCATTAAGAGCACTAAATCCCATTGGAGCAACGTCACTAGTGCAGCTACCCAAGGCTCAGTACTTGGACCATTATTACTTATTATATACATAAACGACATAGATATTGGCGTAGACTGAAACATAAGTAAATTTGCTGATGACACTAAAATAGGACATGTAATTAAATCTGACGAGGACTCCGCAAAACTACAGAAAAATCTAAAAAAAAATTTTTAATGGTCTGAAAAATGACATGAAATTCAATGTGGACAAATGTAAAGTACTCAGTATAGGAGATGTAAACAGGGAAATCAGATACCAGATGAACAAGAATGTTATTGAGAAATCCGACAGCGAGAAAGATTCAGGAGTAATGATAAGTAGGAATCTTAAGCCAAGTAAACAATGTATATTTGCTCAAAACAAAGCTAATAAAGTACTTGAGTTCATACAAAGGAGTGTTAGTTACAAGACTAGCGAGGTCATCCTAAAACTATACTGTATTTTGCGCTTGTGAGACCTCACCTGGATGACGCAGTTCAATTCTGGTCACTGCAATGCAGAATGGATATAGAATCCTTGAAAAGAATTCAGAGGAGAATGACAAGACTAATCCCAGGCATTAGGAACCTTGAGTACAGAGACAGGTTAAAGCATCTTAATTTGCACTCCCTCGAGAGACGTAGAGTGAGGGGTGATATGATAAAGGTGTATAAATGGAAGTCAGGGCTAAACAAAGGGGACATTACAAAGGTACTCAAACTATCCGACCAGGAGCGAACTCGTAACAATGGTTTTAAATTAGACAAATTTAGATTTAGGCGTGAAATAGGTAAACATTGGTTTGGAAATAGAGTAGTGGACGAGTGGAACAGGTTGCCAAATATCATCATTAACTCGAATATGCTGGATAGCTTCAAACATAGGTTGGATGGATATATGAGCAATAGGGGTTGGGTGTAAATGGGACTGCCCAGTATGGGCCAATAGGCCCGCTGCAGTTTCCTCCATTCTTATGACTGTCACCTCCCCTTCTTCCCTTCCTTCCAGCAAAGGTTTGGTGGTTATACAGTAGGCTTTAAGTTTTTATCTTATATAATATCCCAGACTAAAGTTAGGAGAATATAATTTGCATTGCTGGACTCCTTGCAAGAGAGCGAATAATTTCACTAAAAACGTCATATATTTTGCACAAAACATAAAAATTTTAGCCATTTGTAATTAGAGCTAAAATTTGTATGTCTAATGCGAACTATAGCATGTTTATATTCAAATTAATCACTATCTTATAAGAATT